ACTTGACGGGAAAAGTGATGTGAATAAATGGTTTTGAAAATAATTTGGGAGTCGCCATCGGCCTTTTGGGTCAGGTAGGTCGAATACCTAAAAAATATCTTTTAAAAGAGTTTTAAGAAAACATCAATTAAAAAAATGAACTGATCTGCGTTTATAACCAAAAATTCGTTCTTTTTAATAATAAAAAGGGATTCGTGGTCGGTTACGTTTAGGGAAGGATTAGCACCCCTACAACGCCCAAAATTGGTACTTTTTAATTATAAATTGTCTCTATTATTAAAATTTAAAAATTCAAAATATATTTAATTTATAATCCTATTATTTCAAAATTATATAAAAAATATTTAAAAATATCGGAAAAGGACTTCTAGGTGCCTTAAGACAGCTCTTTTCTTTGATATTAATAAATATTAATTTGAATAAATTTAAATAATAATTTTTTATAATATTTAATTTTAAAATACCAGAATAGGACATCCAGTTGTATTAAGACTGCTCTTTTCTTTGATATTGACAAATAAATGTTAAAATAATTTATTTAAAAATAATAATAAATTATTATTTATTATATATATATTTATGACTACATAATAATAATAAAAATATTTAAATATATAAACAAGTAAAATTAAAACAATAAAAATACAATTAGAACTATATATTTAAAAGCAATAAAATAAATGAAAAGATTTAAAATTAGTGACTAAATTATAGTAAAATTAAAATTAAATATCTAATTCATAATTAATCAAAATTATAGGGATTAAACATGCTATTTTCTTATTTATTAATTTAGTGACTAAAATAAAATTATATAAAATTCATATATTAGAATAAAATAAATTAAAACATACTATTCAGATTAAGATATTAATTATTAAAATTATAGGACTAAATCTGTTATTTACCCTAAATATATTATTTTAATACAAAGGACTAAAATAAATAAAATTAAAATTTAGAGATCAAATTAAAAGGATTATAAACTCGATTTAGTGACTAAAATGTAAGAGATACAAGTTATAATGGCTGCGGACGGGATTTAACAATTAAAGTTTGCACAAATAGTCCTTCCCGAAACGACGTCGTTCGGGAAGGCCTATTTAAGGTCTAAAACGACTGACCCGAAGGGCCAGCCTTCATTTCTCATTTTCTCCTCTCTCTCTCTTCTCTGAGAGAGAATTTTCTCTCTCGCTTCTCTCTAAAACAGAGAGAAGCCAGCCGGCAGCCGCTCGCCGGCGTTGATCCCGCCGCCGGCCACCGCCTTCGGTGGCCGGAATAATTTTTTTACATTAAAACGTAGATCGGACCGTCCTAATAACGGTTCCGATGGTTTTTTCTTCTAAACGACTCCCGATCGGAGTAGATCTAAAAAAAAATACCTTCGGTTTTCGAAGGTTTTTGGTGACGTCTAGAGGCCGGTGGTGACTCCGATCAAGGCGGTGGCTTTCACGGTAAGTCTCTCTTCTTCCTTTCCTTGTTGTGTTGTGGGGTTTTCTTTGTTTTTGTTCTCCGTTCTTCTTTTTTTTTCTGTTGGCTACCTCCCTGTTGTTTTCTATCTTTGTTCGCATATGGGGTGATGGCTTTATAGCCATCACCGGTGTGGCCATCGGACCGGTCCGAAGGGTGGAGTTCGGTGAGTCACCGGACTCCCAATGGTGACTCACCGTTGGGATGACAGGTGTGCGGCTGGAGTGGCGGCGAGGCTGAAGCAACGCCGCGTGGTCTTCTGGAATCTACGGCGGCGCTGGGACGTGTCCCTAGGGTATTGATACCCTAGGGTTTCCTCTGGCAAACTGTGGACCGTTGGATCAAACCAGATCCAACGACTGAAATTGAGCGGCGGCAGCTGGATAGAAAACCCTAATTGGGTTTTAGGGTTTCTGATTTGGGCCAGTTGGGTCCTTTGTAATTGGGCCGGTCCAATCTGGGTCTGTTTGTAATATTAATAAATAATATATAATAATAATAATAATAATAATTATAATAATAATAATTATAATAATACTAATAATAATAATAATATGAGTAAAAAAAAATTTAGTATCTTCACCTTGAGTGCAAATCCTGTGTATCATGCACATTCGAAACACATGGACTTGGACGTTCATTTTGTCTGTGAGAAGATCGTCGCAGGTCAGCTATGCGTGAATTGTGTCCCAGCGTGTCGTCAAGCTGCTGATGGGCTTCCTAAGCCGCTGTCGAAGTCATGGTTTGAAGTTTTTCGAGAGAAAGTGAACGTGTGTGCATTTGAGGAAGAAGAAGATAAGAAAGAGTAGGGAGAATGTTGAATATAGCTGTTAGTAATCACGTGTAGTGTGCAGTTTGTATGAGAGAAGTTAGGTGGTTAGTTGTCAATTTCATGAGGTCATTGAGTGTTATCTAAGCATTGTATTAGTTCCTGAAAGTTGGCAAGTTATTTTTCCACATGAATAAATAAGTTTCATTCCTTTCTTTGTTTTATGTTTGGCTGTTAGAATACTTTCTTGGGTATTTCCACACAAAAATCTAATTACACAGTTGTGAATGAATCCTACGTTTTAGGGTTTGTCCAAGTATAAATATATTACTAAACTTTTCGTTCAAGAAACGATTTAAGCTCCAACCAATTCCATAACTATTTCACCTTGGCTCTTACCGTTCAATAAGAGTTCTCATAACTTTGAACTTACTGATGGTGAAAACCCTAGCTACTCACTCTTTTTTCATTCTTCTTTTTCTATGTTTTCTCGTATTTTCCTTCCTTTTACATTGTTTGTTGCAATAGATATGTAAAAAGCTGACCCAACCTGCTGATTCAAAACGATCTGAGTTAAAGTTGTTTGTAATCCGAGGTGGTGATGATCCAAGATCGAATTGAGTCTGAATTGGTGTTGACCCGAACCCGAGTTGAACCTGAAAATTATGGATTTGAAATCGATCTACACTCGTTCTGAGAATGACATGAACCTGAATTGAATTGACAATATGATAACTTTATAAACTTTTCTTCACCAACTTTTTAAATGAATTCAATTTAGTCCACTTTTATATTAATTTCAACTTAACATTTTATAATTATTTCAATTTAATTCCTCATCTATGTGTGTTGTTTAATTTATTTAAATTTCAATTTTTCATTTCATGTTTGTTCAATTTAGTCCTTAAAATTATATTTTTATTAAAATTGACCCATAATTATTTATATTTTTTGTAATTTATTCCAAATCATATATAATTACAAATTACAAATCGTTGTTAATGAAGGGAAAAAAATAATTAACCCAAAAATGACTCGACCCGAACTCAATCCGTACCCGGTAAGATCCGACTTGAATTTTGTCTGTCGATGATATGACCCAATTTGAACGAGATCATACCTAAATTCCACCCGAAGCTAAATTAACTGATTCGGACTGAACAGGTCTCAATCTAAACTAGAAATAAATCCGAACTGATTTGACTCGGATCGGACTTGATCCGACTCAAACCATCAAACCGACCTGACACATCCTGTATTCGATTTGATCTGATCCGACAAGAACCAATTAAACAATGAACGATTACCTGATTTCAGATCTCTAGTCCAGAGTAACACTAATCTTATGCTGACCACCAACCAATAATCATTATTTTTCTTCTTTCCCTCTTCTTTTTCATCAAGTTTTGCTATCATTTGATTATCTTTCCTGTTGGAATTGTGAGACTTAATATTTTTTTTTATCGAACTCAAGATAAATAAGAGAAACTCACTTAAAATAAAGATTAAAATGAAGATATTCGATACGGAGAAGTTTAATTTACATAAAACTTTTCTTTTATACCTTGACAAGCTGATGTTGAGTAAAAATTTTAATTCAAATATATTTACTTTTATACAAGTTTTTTTTATCAACAATTTTTTCACAATAAATAAGTATCCAGTAAGTTTTCGTGAAATCTCATTGCTTCCGGTAGCAGCCAATGAGTCATTAAATGGTCTGATTGAATCCTTGACCTGCTGCCTTTTTTGTTGCCCTACAAATTCATCAAACTTGGTTTATTAAAAGTTTTATTTTATTTTTCTTGTTTTTTTTATTAAAAGAAAAAAAAACTTCCTTTGAGCTTCATCAAGGTGCCACTTACACGTCAAACAAGAGATTTGATCTTATCTAGGAAAATCAGGCAGCCATTTTTATTTATTTTTTGATTTGCTAATGATAACAGAACAAAAAGGTCTATATCCACAAGACCAACAGTCCTTTCACCCCGTTAAATCAATTAATCTGTTCAAGCATATTGAAATCCAAGCAATTAGTTGCCATCTAATCTTATCTATTAAGGATAATCCAAAATCTTGGCATTCATCCATGTATGAAAACAGGCCACAAATCCTTCCTAATAGCCTGGATAAATATGCTAAATTTGATCTAAAGCATCATCTCTTATTATTAAAATGAAAATAGTTCATAATAGTAGTGTATTAAAACAAACAAAAGCTAAATAACTTTTCTTTTTCTTCTTTTTGGGTTGTAGAAGAGGTAAAAATGTCTTTTTAGGACAAGGAACGGAAATGAAAACACCTTTTGTCCGAATTTATAGCCCCATAACATCAGATGCTGACATTTCAATCCATGGCTAGCCTGACTGAATATCTAAACCCATTCCAGAACTTCAGCTATTCCAAATTTCAACCACATTTCTGGGGATTTTTGCATGAAAAAGAAGAAAGGTGTGGCATTTTATGGATGGTATCAAACATTTTCCAAAGAGAATCAGAGGAAAGTCCAATTTCAGACACAAACAAATCTGGGTATGGACTAACATAAAGAGAGGCCATTATTTAACAAGACTTGCAAGAAATGCATTCAACTACTTCCTGTGGCAAAACATGGGAGCTAGAGCAAATATAACCTTAATTAAACTTCCAAAAATGATCAAGCAAAATGAATTGCCAGACTTGCACAAAATCTGTACAAGGAAATGTATAAGCTCATAATCATTCCATAAAAATGTCATTTTAGGATAGGGAATAATGCCTGTATCTACAATAAATGATTATACAATCAAATACATGGCCTAAGAAGTGGTCAAGGCTCGTCTTGTACAAAGTACAAACAATATTTTATTGTTCAGAGATGCAGGTTCCACCATGTAAAACTCTGGTTTTATGTACAAATAAGTACCCATTTCTAAGGTCCAAAAGGAATTTATATGATGACAAAACTATGGTTCAGTCATCCTCGTTTTCTGAATCAGGGTTTCCATACACAATAGAGAAATAGAAACCTACTGTTCTAAGTGTGAGGCCTGGGAACCTGTGAGAACTATTGGGCCGCAGGTCTACCTTGATAAAAGGCCACTTCATGGCTTGCGCAGCTTCACACTCTTCCCATCCATCTCCTATTGCACAAAACTGGGTATTTCGACTGTTGAAACGTTCCTTGATCCACTGGAAACATTGTAGTTTCCCTACATCCCATGAACTGTAAACTGGAGAATAAATGTTTTGTAAGTACTACAAATACGATGAGTTTATCAAAGAAATCACATTGAGGACTAACATGAGGTCGATACAGTATGCATGCAATCCAGTAACCATGACAAATATGAGAACCGCCTGAACTATTGAAACTATAAGTCATGGAGAATGTCCTTATAGAGAGAATGCAAAGCAAGTATTCTAGAAGAACTTGATACACCAAAGGTAGAGTTTATGGGAAATAAATGTTAGGCAATTCATATCTTCTGGTTAAAAGTTCTCTTCCACTGAAAATTTCCACATTAACATTACATATTAAACTCCTCGAGTCTTGGCTAACGAGAGATACCTTTACTGTGAGGTCAATTTAGGATAAGATTTTTTTTTTGAGAAAGATTTGCATTTAACCAGAAGTTATGCGACTCAACGTTCACATACTGCACAAAATATAGGGACCTTTCTGGCTAAGCACAAAACATGAGGATGCTTGCCAACGTTTCCGAACAAGTCCTTTCATATCTGTGGCAAGGACCTGAAATCAAATATCGTACTTGGCATGGACAGACGAAAGAAGATAGGAGGATAGATTATAAGGAAAGCATGCATAGCAAGCAGACTACAGTAAACATGCCAATTAAAGTATAGGCTGGTGCTAACCATTTCAATATGTACTATAAAAAGATGCAGTTTACTTCAAATGAACCGAAGATTACTCACCATTGTCATACGATATCAAATTGTCAAGTCGAAAGAGTAAACACTTAACAACGCTGGGAATCAAAGACCCATAAGTCACCAAAACATTTATGTGCTGGGACCCCGTAGCATTAGAACTCACAGCCCCACCAGCAACGGTATTACAAACGGTAGGATCTTCATTCCCAGCTAAACACTGCTCCAAGAGTGACCGTGCTATATTTAGAAAATAAATAAATGCATACTCAGCAAAGCAAGTCAATAAGAGAAACCAAGAGAACTTTAGCTCCAGTTACAAGAAAATTCTTGATTCTTGTGTTAGTTAAACCATCAGCCTCATATTAATGAAGAGTCAGTGAGAAGGATATATCTAAGCTATGCAAGACTCTTAAGAGGTAACTACGTTAGTGAGTTTTGAACCCCATTTTAGAATACCACAAAAACACATTGGAGATAGTCTATAACTAAAAACCTAAGGCATGCATCAATTTATATGTTGAATACCCTAATCTAAATTGCAGCTAAGTTTAAGTCTCATTGAAGAGTTGGGATCTTTTCCAACTCAGAGGATTATCTTGGAATCAGACTCGACCACGGCTCTCACGTCCAGATTTATGTACCCCGTTGTTTCAGTCCTTGGTAAGAGGCGTAGCTACTTATGTGGAAGGAAAGGGTATCATCTCAAGACATATTGTGAGAGCTGCTAACTGGGAAGCGGATGAATTGGCAAAAGCTGGTATAGGATGATCGGTGGTTATGAGTTATAGTTATTAAGCTGGGGTGTTCATTGTGTTTTTTTTAAGGGGCTTGGTTTTTAGTGCTGCAGTTTGTGTTTATGTTGATAAGTCTTATGTTATAAGCAGACCATGGTTATGGATTGGTTGTATGTTATGTTCAAGATGAATACAATTCAGAGGCGCTCTTTTCCTCCTTCCTATGTCCTTCATGTTACTTATATAACATGTAGGATATGAAGGGGGGTTTTAATGCAGCCTATATTCTATCCAAAAAAAATTGCAGCTAAGAGGTAACTACATTAATGAGTTTTGAACCCCATTTTAGAATACCACAAAAACACATTGGAGATAGTCTATAACTAAAAACCTAAGGCATGCATCAATTTATATGTTTCAAATACCCTAATCTACATTGCAGCTATAACCTTTAGTCAAAATGCTCAAGAAGATAAGCTTTGACATTGAGCAAACATCACAAAAAAGAATTCATAATGGTCAATGATATAGTACAGTGACCAAAACTAATTAAAACAAAACAGATTCAATATTAATTATAATACTAGAACTGTCAATGACTTTAGTTCAGCACTAAATAAGTAGCAACTGGAAAAGAATAAAAATGAATGCCTCAGTAGACATATCATAGTCAGAGAACATACCTGACGAAAGCCACCCATCTGTATACTCGTCAGTCATTTTGTACAATACATCCCAGTCATCCATCATTTCTTGGTCCAAAATATTGTGTAAACCCTGAAATGATAGAGGACTTCCTAAAAAATCACAATTTTCTATATCTAAGAAGCATGTGCATTTCTATTCTATACATAGCCTTTGAGGGGATGTGGAAAAGAAAACACAAGCAAAGGTGACCATTGGAAAACAAAACTATATATGAGGAAATACAAAGATCAAGTTTTAAACTGGCAAATAAAGATTAATATGTCTATGTCTTGCAAGGAAGTGTTTTGGAATGCCAAATGAATCCTCACAATATAAGCACATTTTTTCTTATTACATAAATATTAAATCCCAGATAGAATAGAATCCAGCAGTTAGTGAGTAGGTACCTCTAGGAGATATCTATTTATCATTTATAATTCCCTCTTTACTAAACCATAAGCTATCAACTGATGTAAACTACATAATGCAGATTTACATTATATTAGATTTTCTGTGACTGTTCCCCTCAAACATTCCACCTAGCTCACATGTTGTACTTGTAGCTAAACCATAACTTCATCCGTAAGGGAGGCAATAACTAGGACAAGAAACTATAAACAGTTTCTGGCAGAGCATACAATAAAACGCCTCATATTTTGAATGAATGGCAATGAGAAAACATGAAAATTACACGAATAATTGGAAGAACGATTTATATTAGGCTTGAAAGGCATCCGTTGGAATACATTTTTATACTTGTTGGCTATGACTCGATGCCTGTACGCCAGTCTCCTTTTGTTGAGATCATCATGTGGAGGACTGAAACCATCTTGATTAAAATCATAATCGGAGAGATCCTGTCCGTCATCATATTTGCTCAGGATATCAAGGAAAGGCTTATTGCAGTTTTCAATCTGTAGCACATTCAATAGATATATAACTGCAAAATTCGATATTTATAGCTGGAAAAAAGCAACATAAAAGGGAGGGGGCCGGAATGTAGGAATCTCAAACATACTTGCTCATAGAAGAAGAAATCATCAGAAATTTGAAGGATATGTTTCTCCCACATCTTTCCAATTTCAACACCTTTCTGAGCATCTTTTAAACCGGCGAAAGCCTCGGCATATGAACCATTCAACAAAGACTTGAGCAATATGAGGGTTTCATCCATGTCCCAGATGTATACCTTTGTTATCTGATTATTCATACCTAGCAACCCAACAAAAAAAAGTATCAAACTTTATCAGCCCTTACATTAAATAATATCATTTAACCATATTGATTGCATAAACCGATTTGTCTTGATTTTCTGTTTCATTACAGAAAAAAAAGGTCATCTTTGATTACAAAGTCAAGTGTATGATCATTATAATATTTAAAAAAAAAAATTGAAAGGGTACTGGGAATTGAAGTTTACCTTTCTGGGTCAATGAGTTCAATGGCAAAGACGGAGCAGAGCGAGCGAGCTGAGAGCAGCTATTGACTAAGTATTCGCAGTTCGAAAACAAAATTCTGGGAATATATATGAAACCGAAAGGTGAACAACAATGGAGTTGTTTATGGTCACCTGTTGGCCCAACAAGACTAGAACAGATCGTCTTAGCAAGAACGAGAGATTTAGCAACAAAATCCACATCCTTGGGACATTTGATTACACCCAAAAGGCCAAAATGGCCCAAAAATCACTGATATGCTTTCGACCCACGTTTCTCTGATTCTTTTTCTTTTACCAAAATCAATTTACAAAGCATGAATCAATCTATATCACGGGATTGTAATTTTTAGATATGTTAAAAGTATTTAATCGTTTGATATTAAATAAATTAAAAATCTATTAAACATATATTATTTTATAATCAAAATTAATAAAAAAATCAATTTACAATATAAAATTTACTTTTTGTCATTTTAGTTTTATTATTTTGTTGATGAGACTGTAATATAGTATAAAGACGTGTTCAATCAACTTCACACTTTATAAGAGCTGTTAACAAAATGTGTCTTTCATAAATAAAATATTAAATATGTCAAGTTTCAAGTTTAATTATCTTTAATAAACTTTTTATTTATTTTTCTAAATATATTTGTTTTTAGGGTAAACTATGCCAATGATCACTGATGTTTGGGTAAGTTTTCATTTTCACTACTGATGTTTCAAAAGTTACAAATCGGTCACTAACGTTATCGTTTGTTACAATTGGTCACTTGTCGTTAACAGTCGTTAAGAAACGTCACGGAAAACACACATGGACCGTTACCTGCTTACCTGACTGATTTGACCGCCATAGTGGAGAATCTCACTTCTCCCTTTGAGTGGTGTTTTATAAAAAAATTAAAAAAAAATTAAAAAAATAAAATGACGAGGGAAAATCATGGGGAAATCTGATTCTCTTTTTCTTCCATTTTTAACTTCTTCCTTCACGATAAAACCAGTTTCAGAGAGTTACATAGAGGGTTTGAGAGAAATACGGGAAACGTGAGGAAAAAAAGAGAGGAAAACATAGAAAGTTAGTGATTAAGAGAAAAAAATGAGCAACACTTGGATATAAGAGGGTTCGAAATGATTGGGTACGAGGTGATTAAGTTCGAGGAAAATTTTAGGGTTTGAAGTGAAGATGGTACTGAAATGGAGGCTACGACAAAAATGGGACAACGCGATGCTTTACGGTAAGCTTCATTTTCAGTTTGAGAGAAAAGGTAGAAACCTAGATTTTTGACAGAAAATTGAATGGGCTTTATTTGAAATAATGTTGATTCTTTTGTTATATGTTTACAACTTTACTGATTTTTCTGTTGATAGAAAATGTATGTGGTCATTGACTCCTTGTTAAACAAATGAATCACAACCTTCCATGAATGCTCGAAGGTGCGCACGAGGATCTTCAGTGGTTGACTCACCATATTGCCCCATGGACTGCAACATTTGAAACATAACCAACTTCAGCTCAAAATTAACAGCATGAATTGTTAGTCGCACAATGCCAAGATGTAAATCATCGAGTGTTGGCACTGTATGTTCACGGATGAGTTGGCTAAGATCATCCATATTGTAGAATTAGTGTGGCCAAGCTCCATTTCTAGTCGCCACAGTACATAAAACAACAAAACTAATAAATAGGAAAATACCTACAAAAAGAAAAGAAAAAGATAAGTAAATAATAAAACTAACTCTAATGCAAAACCGATGCTCCCCGACAACGGCGCCAAAAACTTGATGCTACGTAAATGCCATACGAAAGTGAAAGCATACACTGTCAAATAAGTAATAAAATGGTAGCAAAATTTATTACGAATGTCGAATCCCACAGGAATGCCACAACATTAGTGTGCCACTTTCCACCAATAAAAGCAAAATAAGCCCAAAGTTCCTCATCTAACTCCCATGATGCAAATGATGCAAAAAAGCATATACAAATGCTCCTTATATTCTCCTAATAATGCTTGAGTTTAAGTTTAACCCAAGTGAATAGATCCTAAAAGATAACTCTTTTGGAGAATTATCAAGAGCCAAGCTGCCTTAAACTTAAAATGCAAACTTCTAGAAACCCTAAAAGAACACACTATGTTAAGAAGAAGAGTACAATGGTCTAAAATTGTGTGAGGTAAGTGGGTGATACTATAATCCAGGAGTTAGTGAGACCAAGCATTGTTTACCACTCCTCGATCCAATCGCTCCCGAATATCGTTTTGCTGACTATGCCCCATTTCCCATGTAAACCACGAGCCTTTTTGTCACCGCTTGATCTCCTCGTGGGTCTGTCTCATCTCGTAACCAAGGACTTTGAAAACCCTTCTATCTCGGCAGTGCTCTAAGAGAAATATCTCAAGCCAACACATAATAATGTTTATGTAGCAACACCCGGACAGGGCAAAAATTCTCCCCAAGTCCCAACTTTCCACATCTATAGCAGAATAATCAAAGTTTCTCATATTGAAAAAAAGCAAAAATGTGTTTACCATATGAAAAAGCCATCTTTTTCTTTCTTTTTAATGGTTTCCGAATATCAACACTAACTCGAACCCTCGTGCGCCCCCTGAATTCCAGAGAAAGTGCAACAGTATCATAGATAAGGAATCTACCTATGAAATCTCTCCACTGTTTGGCTACTCCCTCTGATATGAATCCCACTGGTAAGTCTGAAATTTGCACCCAAAAATCAACCCCGTGTAGGGGAACCAATCTCGGGTCTTCCCCTTCAGATGATGATGTAAGATCAATAGATGAGAGTTGAAATACCAAGGGCCTTCGATCTCGATCCGATCTGCATCCACATCATGATAAAAAAACGAAACAGAAAGCGACCCTCCCCTAGATCTGTGATTGAAAATCCGCCTATGGGATACCACACAATAGCCAAGGTTGCTCTCATAGCCGGAAAGTGAATTATGCTCGAGGTTAATAACAATCCCACAAAAAATAAATCAAAGGAGAGCGTCGATCCAGGTTCTCTAGCAACAATCGAGATCGCCTCTTCCTCTTCATCCTCCAATCGTAATCCTTCAAGATCCTGTTCAATTTCTCATACCCCCAAAAAACAAAACAAAATAAAACCAAACTAGGAATAAACCTTGGAAAATGTCCCACAAGGCAGAGAGAATTTTATATTTAAGCTTATATATTATTTTAAGCACTTAAAATCTATAATATCTAATTATTTTATTAGTATATACACATTTTCTTTCTAGACATTCTTTTAAGAGTTAAATGGGATGGTTTAATTTTTTGAACAGTAAAAGATAAAAATTTAGCTAAATTGTCAGCTTATGTATGTAAGTTGTTTAAAGAGTAATGGATACGTTTAAGCCATTCAATTCCTTTTATCTCATAAACTTAGAATCTTCCCTTCCCTTGCAAGTCACTCCAGACAGATAGAAGGCTGCCAATGGAAACTAAAGCCGCTGTACGCTTGATGTTGGCAAAGGAGGGACATGAGTTTTAAGACTTCCATTCTTGTCTTTTTCATCACGGTATTAGGAAATTAGGAGCTTTCTTTTTTTTTTTGAAGTATTTTGCTTAAATACAAGGTGTATTGTTGGGATAAACAATATGAGAAAACCTTTTTTTTAAAAAAGAAACCGCATGGAGTGTATAAAAGAAAAAGGTGAAAAGCGGGCGACATATAAAAAGGTTTATATAACGTTGGTGGTTATATTTTCGGTTGCGTCACGTTTATTATAGTTGCGGACATTACGAAGGTCATTGTGCTCATTGCGGGTATCGCGGTCGTGAATTTTTTAAATGTCACATAACTTACCCTAAAATGACTAAATTAAATATAATTAAAATAAAATTGTAAAATTTAAATTACAGAAATTTAGATTACTGAAATTAAGACTAAATTAAATAAAAATTAAAGTTTACATTTTAAATTAGGGATTAAATTATAAATTCTAAAAGTAAGAGGAATGTCAAATTAATATATCATTTAAAATTATATTTTAAAAATTATTAAAAAGAAGAAGAAATAAAGCAACTTTCTGCCTCCCCTCCAATTTCATTGTCAATGTTAGGTTAACAAACAATAAAAGCCCCTTCCCTTATATTGCACAGCCTAACCCTTCCTTCTCTTTCAAGTTAACTCTCAACGCCATTACTTGCTGCACGTAGTCCGTGATTTACTGTTTTCCGCAGGTAAACAAAACTTCCCTTTTAACATCACGTCGTCGTTCTTAGCCAACCGGCGTTGCAAATCCAACCACAACCTTCATGTGTCAACCATGATTTACTGCCACGAGAAGGAGAAGCGCTACTAGATTTGTGGGATTTGAAAAACGACATTGGATCCAGCTTTATATTCCCATTGGTTCAACTGAATTTTGACCAATGTGTTTGAAAATCATATAGATTCTTGGGAGTCCATTACTGTAGTTTATACGGTCGTTGAGAGTCTCCATCATCCCCCCTTAATTAAGGTTTAGCTAATTAAATTTGATGAACAAATTGATTCAAGGGTTGTGTTGCTAATTACATTAGAGAAAATAAATTATTAGACATAAGGCAGATATGTTCTTACTGCATAAAATTGGTTAGTTGTACAATGTTTCAAGATTATTGGATAACTGAAAATAAAAGATTGAGTATGAAAAACAAACATATTTTAATTTAGTAACTTTGTTGAGTATACAAAAATATATATACATATATATATATATATATATATATATATATATATACGATAATTAAATAAAATATATAGATGCATGATTTAGGGTTTGTTTTGGGTTATTTCAATGATTGATTAATCTCCAATATTTGGGTTGGACACCATGATTAGATATTAAATGTCAGAGATGAGCTAAGGGGAGAATCGGCACAATCGTCTCTGAAAATTACAAATTATTATATATTCTAAATATTTTTATATTTTTTATTGATAATATATTTTTGTCTTGAAATTTTAGAGGATTGATCTTGAATATTTTAAATTATCATATATTTTAAATATTTTTTTATTAAAAATTCACCATCTAACATAAAA